ATATATATATATATATATATATATAATTATATATAATTAGGGTCGGCATTCGGCAATGCCAACCTGAAAGTGTTATATATATATATATATATATATATATATATATATATATATATATATATATATATATATATATATATATATATATATATATGTATATGTATATATATATATGTATATATATATATGTATATATATATATATATATATATATATATATATATATATATATATATATATATATATATATATATATATATATATATATATATATATATATATAGTTGCAATTAAAAGTTTTGAACATTGCATAAAAAAACACAATTTTTATTAAATTATTCATTTGTTTTATCAAAGTATATTAGTAACCATTATAATTGACAAAAATAATCTCTTTGAAACATTAGTTATCGTTTTATGAATTGAATGCATGAGTTAAATACTTGGTATGGCGTCCTTTAGCATTTAAACAATTAGTTAAGCAGGTAGGCATAGAGTGAATGAGCTTTCTTAAATATTCAGGAGTCATAAGTTGAATCCATACCTGTCTAATTTTTTCTTGTAGATCATCTGAAGATAAGGGTTTTAGTTTCTGAACTTCGTTTTTAAGATGATTCTAGCAGTTTTCAATGGTATTGAGGTCTAGTGAGTTACCAGGCTAGGGGTCAATAATCTCAACCCCATTCTCTCTCAACCAACTGCTCTCAAGCTTGGCCCTGTGACAGGGTGCTCCGTCATGCTGAAACTTGTGGGTATTTGTGATGTTTATGATTATTTTAAGTTTTTCTTTAAGGGTTTTAAGATAAATATGACTGTTTATTGTGGTGTTAGGAGGCATAACCCATAAACAACCACATTGATTTGCTGTAATGGCACCCCATATCATGATTTTAGGGCAATGTTTTGCAATAGAAAACAAATACTGGGGTTATATCGTTGGCAAGGCGTGCGTCTAACGCTTATAGAACAACAACCAAATTGTTCAATTAGTGATTCATCATTAAATATTACATCCTCCCAATCCTCCCTAAACTTCTTGAACTTATTTTACCAATGTGCACAACGCAAAATAAAAGAGATAAACAATTGATAACGCAAAATAAATCTCTTATATGTTCATAAGGTATCGTAATTGTGTAGCTGTTGCCACGCAGTTAGCTTATTGCTAAATGTGGAGTTTTTTCATGCAAGCAATAGAAGTCAGGGTCAATCCTTATTCACGTAGAATAACAATCTAAGCACGTTTTTCTGTTATTAATTCATTAGTTTTTCGCATAATTATTATATTATTTTTTGCTAAAATAACGACAAGCTATGACTAAGACAAATTTAGAGGTTTCTAACATAACATTTTGCATTTATATAATAATAATACTAAGAATTTTCAATGTAAAAAAATATTTTTAAACAAGTATTTCAAATTTTCTGCAAATATTTAAAATATTCTAAACTTTTGATCACGACTGTACACACACACATATATATTAGTAAATAAAACTGTGTTAACAACTTTAAGTTTCATGCTGTTGCAATTATCAGGTGAAATACAAATATTATATATTATAGCTCTGACTTACTTTATCAAGCACTTTCTTGCTCATATATATATATATATATATATATATATATATATATATATATATATATATATATATATATATATATATATATATATATATATATATATATATGTGTATATATATATATATATATACATATATATATATATATATATATATATATATATATATATATATATATATATATATATATATATATATATATATATATATATATATATATAGCGCTCGCTTCATAAACGAGTGGTTCCGAGTTCGATCCCCACCACGTCCCTGGTAGTACCGCGCTCAACTCGTTTCTCTGCGCAGCAGCCTTGTTCGTCAAGGTTCGTGTTTCGGAGTTATAGAGTTGAGAGAGGGTTATAGCCACAAAATAAGTAGCCTCCTTGTCTGTAGTGGCCTTCTCGGCCTTGAGGAGGTGAAGTAAAATAAAAAAAAATATATATATATATATATATATGTATACACACATATATATATATATATATATATATATATATATATATATATATATATATATATATATATATATATATATATATATATATATATATATATATAGATATATATATATATATATATATATATATATATATATATAGATATATATATATATATATATACATATATATGTATATATATATATATATATATCTATATATATATATATATAGATATATATATATATATATAATTTTTAGAATAATTCTAAAATATTCTAAAAAGTTGCTGTTTTTATTTTTACTTGACCAAAGAAATTTTTATGTTTTTTACTCAAAATTTTACTCAAAATTGTGGAGAAAAAAAATATTTTTAATATTTTAATTTTATATTAAAATTATTTTTAATAAAAATAATTTTAATATAAAATATTTTTTATTTTAATATTTTTTTCAGATTTTAACTCTGACTTAGTTTTTCTTTTCATCAAATTTAAAATCAAAATTAATTTCTTAATAGGCAATATTTATGATTCCTACAAAACCTCCTCCAACTTTTAAACATCCTGAAAAGTGGTCTAAAGATATGATTGATTTTGTTTCAAAATGTCTTGTAAAAAACCCCGATGATAGATTGTCTGCTACAGCTCTTCTCCAGGTATTTTTATATTAAATTTTAGTTGTTTTTATTATTATTTTTTTTTTTGTTATTATAAATAAATATATAGTGTATATATGTATTGTTTATTTTGTGTTAAAAGTGTGTTTTTAACACAAAAAATTGTTGCAGCATATGTAAAATCAAATATTAAAATAGTGTGGAGCTTAAGTTATATATTGCACACTTTGATATAAGAATCATATACTAATATTTTATTAAAATTTTATTAATGATAATCATTATTTTATAAATAGTTTTTTATCATCATTAACAATCATTAATAACAATCAAAAAAATAATTATCAATAACAATCATCATGGTATTTATCATCACTAACAATAACAATCATATCAATATTATATCAATATGATATTGATATGATTAAAAAGTAAAACAATATAACACTGTTTGGTAATTGTTATTGTTAGTGATGATAAATACCATGATGATTGTTATTGATTATTATTTTTTAATTGTTGTATATATATTATATATACATTTGTGTTCTCTTTCTGATTACGACAACTTCTTTGTTTTCATTGTTTTTAACAATGATCATTGTTAAAAACAATGAAAATAAAGAAATTGTCATAATCAGAAAGAGAACACAATTGATTTTTTTTTATAGGAGTTTATTCTTCGTAATATAGAAAAAAATTTATCCTGCTGGTTTTGGATCTTGTAACATTATTTTGTATTAAAAAACTTTTTCTAGTAATCATAAAATTATTAAAGTACTAATCAATAAAATATAAAATGCAAATCAAGTTATGCAATAGCAACAGTTTAAAAAATTAACATAATGCTCACACCCCTTTACTCACAAACACTTTTTTCTCACCCCATTTGGGAACAAGTTTAGGTTTGAAAAAATGGACAAACAAAAAATATGTTAATTAAAATTGATGTATTTATAGATTAATTGATTCAAGAAAAATTCTAATGAACTGCTTTAACAACATGCTCACTAAATATACCAATATTTTGAGATTTAATCAGAAAGATGCAACCTTAAAAAAAATGTGCAATTTGTAATATAGTCGAAATTTTCCATGTTGTAAAAAAATTTTGTTATAAATTGTAAAGAAATCTTTTATAAAAATATACTATCTAAAGCATATCAGATAACTTATTGATGGAATATCCTTTATATATATATATATATATATATATATATATATATATATATATATATATATATATATATATATATATATATATATATATATATAATAATATATATATATATATATATATAATAAACTAATCTATGAAGCATAAACTAAATAAGTTTGTTAATTTAAACTTGTTTTAATTGTGACCAAGCAGTTTGAAGTTCCTGATACAATTCTTTAGCATTTCTGAATTAACCATGCAAAAATACTTTATCATCAAGTTGTTTTGATATATTCTCAGTAGAATTTATGTCTGGAGATTTAGCAGGTCATTTCATTATCAGAATTTATCAAACCATGCTTTAACAATTTAATATGTGTTTAGTTTCAGCAGTTCCTTTGGTTTTATATTTTTTAGTTTTTCTGTTTTGGAAATTTTATAAACTTCTGTTGCTTTCTTAAATGATATGTAGTTCTAGCATTATAATCATCAATAATTTTCTGTTTCACAATTCAATTCCACATTTGTTAGCAAATAGTTTACCTAATAAAGATAATTATTAACTTAATTATAAAATCAATTTATAATTAAGTTAATAACTTTAATAAATTTAAAACACTTTTCTTTACAAGAGTATTTATTCCCAAAGTTTTCAGCCCACAGTGACCATTTGTCCGGCCCTTCATTTATATAAATTTTTATTATTAATATAGCCGATTAATTTACAAAAAAAAACAGATTAATTTACAAAAAATGTAAAGTTTAAAAAAATTCAAAACAATTACAAAAATTACAAGTGTAGTGTTTTTAACAATGAGTGACAAAAAAAGTACTTTTTTGGTGAATTTACTTAGGTGCCAGAATGTTTAAAATGTAATAATTTTTTTCCAGTCCGCAAAGAATATTCCAATCTGCAAAGAATTTAAGGCACTATAATTCAAAACCTTCAAAAACTTATAATCAGTGTAAATGATGTAAATGTATAATCAGTCTAAATGAAGTATGGAAGGAAAATGCTAAAAAATTGAAACATTAGTCAGTTGGTCAAAGAACAGGTGGGATTTCTGATAATCTGAGTTAGTGATTGGTTGAAATAATAAAAGCATTACATTAATTATTATATGCTATTAATGAATCAATCAATATATCACAAACTGGTCAATTGGCTTTATTTGTGGTATTGATAAATATTTTCTTGTTACTGAAGTAAAACCTGATGTCTATCCTATGCAACTGGAGAAAATGTTTTGCTGGCCATTAAGAAATGGTTTAACTTGACTTGCAACAGATTGATTTCATTTACAACAGATGGTGGCAGTTCAATGATTGGAAAAAATATTGTTTTTGTTACCAGACTGGAAAACAAAATGAATGAAAGCAACTTGTCGTTAACTAAGCCACATTGTATTATTCATTAGCAAAATTTAATAGCAAAGGCTATGGATGTGGAAAATTTCTTGCCTTTAGTAGTTCAAACAATAAACAGCATTAAGTCTAGCCCTTTATAAAGTTAGTAATATGAGACATTTCTTGATGAAAATAACTATAAATATGGTGGTCAGCTTTATTATACTGAGATGAGGTATACAGTATACTTTACAAAGAACTCCAAGGAAAAGATCAGTTAATTGGAAAAATGTATAACTTTATTCTAGCTTTTCGTATGAAATTAACATTGTTAAAGCAGCAGTTAAGGACTGGAAATTTCAGTCATTTCTAATCTTGGGTGAGCTGAATCCTGAACATACAGCAGAATTTGTTTCCTGTATTGCTTAATTGAAAACAAGAATTACAAAAAAGCAAATAATAAAAAATATTCTGAAAAAATCAAGTAGTTTACAGTGCCATTCTCTGTTGAAATTCTAATTCAAAATGAAGTTAATTTTAATTAAAAATTAATGAAGTTAATGTTCCATGCAGTGGTGTTTTGACAAAGGCGTATTATGAACAAAATTTGATGTTGTTTTACAAAAATATTGACCAAAATAAATATAGCAACTTGGTTAATAATGCAAAAAAGATAAGTGTTTTGTTTGCAAAATCTAAAACAAGATCATACTGACACATGCTAATTTTTAGAATATTTTAATCGCAACTAGTCAGTTGCCAATTGGCATAGTGAAAAGAGGCAGATTTATAATTACCAAAAAACTATTATTTGTACTGTACCTAATAACTAGCTATTGTAACTGTGCGCGGTATTCCTTGTCAAAAATACATTTAGTAAATTTAAAAGATTTTTAATCAACAATATTTTTAAAATAAACTATTTTTAAAAACCTCCGACCCCAGTTAAAAGCCTCAAAGCTAACTTTGGCTGTCATCAAAAAAGTTTTGTCTGCCCCTGGGATAGTGTATAACATATGGCATTTAATATCTATGATTTTTTAAGATTTTGTTATATAATATTTTTTCCAACTCTCATATTGTAGCACCCATTCATTAAAAACTCAAAACCAGTAGAAGTGTTAGCACAAATGTTAAGTGATGCAATGCGCATTCGTGAAGAAGAAGTTGAAAAAAATAATGGAAATGATGATGAAGATGGAATTGATGACAATGATCAGGTTTTTAGTTAAAAAATTAAATACTTTTAATCAGTTTTAATATATATATATATATATATATATATATATATATATATATATATATATATATATATATATATATATATATATATATATATATATATATATATATATATATATATATATATATATATATTCATACATACATACATACATACATACATACATACATACATACATACATACATACATACATACATACATACATACATAAATACATACATACATACATACATACATACATACATACATACATACATACATACATACATACATACATACATACATACATACATACATGCATGCATGCATACATACATACATACATATATATATATATATATATATATATATATATATATATATATATATATATATATATATATATATATATATATATATATATGTATTAACGTATGTTTGCATAAAAAAGACAGCTTTTTTTTTCTTAAACTTGTGTGTTAATAGGTGATTTTTGATATTTAGTGTACTGTATTTTTTTAAATGTTGTAAATTTTTGTAGGATATCTTTGTGACAGCTCACACAGACACTATTATGGCAAATCAAGATATGGGGACTATGATATTGAACAATGATATTGATTCCAATGATGGTACAATGATTATAAATAGTGGTACAATGATTGGTCACGAAATGGATACAATGATTACAATTAACTCTGGTACTATGATTGAAAACATGGGAACTATGGTCATTAATGATGGGGATGATTGTACAATGAAAAGCAAGTTTTTTTTCGCAGTCTTTAACTTTAATATTTGTTCAGTGTCAGAGTATTTCAGTTTTTGTTTAACAAAAATTTATTTTGTTAGGTTTGGAATCAAGTACAGGAAAATCAACACAATATAGACCGGCATATCTTGAACATTTTGAGAAATTAGAACTTCAAAATCAAAGAAATATAGTAGGAAATAAAAGAGTCAATGAAAATATGCTTAAAGGGTCAGATCCAAATGTACCAGGGAAACTTTTAGGACCAATTGATTTTGAATTTGTAAGTTTTATTAATAGATAAACGAGTTTATTTAACCCTTAATAATAGTAAATTGTATGTAATGATTTTATAAGAGTTTAAACTTACAAGATGTTTATAAAAAAGTTATGCACGGGTAGTTGTTTTTTATTTCAAAACTTTTCTTTTTAGTTAAAGAATCTTTCATTTGAAGAACTTCAACAGAGAATGAGTTCGCTTGATACGGATATGGAAAGAGAAATAGAAGATTTACGTAGACGTTACCAAGTCAAACGTCACCCTATTATTGAAGCCATGGAAGTAAAGAAACGCAGGCAAGCAAATTTTTAAATGTAGAATCCTTAAGTCGCGGCAGCTTTATGCAGGTCGTACTAAGTACCAATTCCAAGTAATAAATATCAAATCATAATGATACAAAAGAAAAACTTGGAAATAGTCGGCGAATAAAGAAGTTATTGAAGCCATTAGGATTCCATATTTTGACCCACGTTTGATGTTAAATTATTTTATTGCACTCTAAGTGAATTTTTAAATGAAAAGTCAGCAGCAGATCATTTCAGTGTTGATTATTAAAATCAACCTTCGATGTCAGCTAAAACTAGTAAGAGATATTTTTATATAAGCAATTTCAATATTTGTTAACAATTTAAATTTTATTATAACTTTTGATATTTTTATAATTGAGACTATACTGTGAATGGTCTACCAAATTGCGTTTTCTCTAAACAATGATTAACCATATTGCGTTCAATACTAACTATATTGTGTGCAATATCGATAAAATACATTTAAATAGCGAACTTTATCAATGAATAATAATAATAATATTTTGTGCTCTATTAAAAAAGATGAATGACATTGCGTTCACTAGGTTTAGTAATTAATTAAACAGCGGGTAAAGTTTATATCTTTGCTTTTTTGTTGTTTTTTGTTTGTTTTTTTAAAAATAGAAATTTACGTTTTTATTTATTGTGAATGATAGAGAATTTAAAAAATTTTTCAAAATGAAATATAAACAAAAAGTTTTCAAACATTTTTTGTGTTTAAAAGAGCTCATTGTTATCATTTATGATGCAAAAAGGCGCACGCTCTATTAACAGTTCGATTTACTAAAAATTGAATCAGTTATTAGAGAAACGATGTAAAACCAATTTTTTTTTAAGAAAATGTGTTTTAATCATTTTTATATGTGCTGTGTACAAATAAAAAATCTTTCAAAACATTTTGTTAGTAATTTTCTTAAATTGTTTTTGCTATAGCTTTAATATACATTCTATAGTTTTGTTTTCAATATTCTATATATTTTCTATATTCTATATTGAAAATTTTCAATAATCTATTTTAAGTTATAATAAAATGACTTTTTTAATAACTGAATATTAAAATATTTTTTTTAATATTTAAAACGTGTATTGCCAAAATAAAAATATACAACTAGAAAGATGGTCAATTTTTTTGAAAATTTCAAGTTCATTTACGTGTAGTTCAAAGTTACACTTTCATAAAACTATAATTAAGTTCTAAGAGGCATGGCCTACTTAAATTACACGGCCTGATTTGTTGCATTTTCCAGTACTTACATTATTTTGTGCTGGATTTTTTGTTAACTGTTTGCCTGCTTCAGTTTATTCCAATAACATAGAATACTGAAATAGGTTTTCAGATGAATAAAAAAATCAAAGGTTTGTAATTTTGATTTTTTTTTTCATCTGAAAAAAAAAATCAAAATTACAACTCTCCATTGAAAAAAAAAATCAAAGGTTTGTAATTTCGAATTTATTATAATTGAAATTAAAAGAAGAAATACTTTTTACTAGGAATATTTATTTGGTCTTTGTCTTGTTTGGAATTTTTTCACTTGATCTTTCCTTAATGAATATGTAATTTCTTTTTGCAAATTATTATAAAAAATATTATTAATAATACGAGATCTATATTTGATTCCCCGCTTTTGGTGTTTTTCATTAGTAAAATTGACACTGCTATAATAAATCTTTAAAATTTTTTCTGCATATTTTTAATTGAAAAAGAATGACTGCAATGTTTTATTAGAATAGGATAAATAACAAATAAAATACAAAAAAGATGGCAAATAAAATTAGACAGGTTGAATTGTATATATAGGTTCTTCTCTGTATAAAATAACGTTTATTGATCATAAGTTTAACTTCAAAATCTTTTTGTTAATTTTTACCAAAATTACTTGCTTTAGTATATATATATATATATATATATATATATATATATATATATATATATATATATATATATATATATATATATATATATATATATATATGTCCTATCTTCAGAAAGCTGACGCTGACATATATATATATATATATATGACATATATATATATATATATATGTCCTATCTTCAGAAAGCTGACGCTAGTATTTATGCAGACAACTAAGCAATATCTTGCATAATATTTTTTCAGGATTATCAAAATTCTGATAAATAATATCTGGGAAAATCTGTCAAAATCTTTTTACAAATGCATATTTCTAAAAGACTCACAAAAAGTCTACCACTGGTCATTTAATATACTTATTAAAAACCACCTCTAAAGGATCACTTTGTAAATTGGAACTAAGAACAAATGTAAGACCTTCTTCAAGCAAATCATTCATAAGAGATACAATTGCTTGTAGTGTTGTAATTAGAGTACGAGAAGTTTGCTTGGCTAGTTTAAGTATTTATCAAATTTTATTTGAATCAATTTTCAGTACAATTTGCAATATTTCTATTAAGTGTGGGTTTGTCCTATTGTTGTTACCGATAACAGTTGTCCTATTGTTGTTACCGATAACCATTCTACCATTGGTAGAATGGTTATCGGTAACAACAGCTCTTATCTTAAATTCAGATTGGCGCATTGAGGTAATACAATCATCAATTTTTTTTTTCGAACATACCCTTACCCACAAGAAGCAGATAATCACTTAATACCGAATTTTCGTCAATGATTTTTCTAATATATTATAGTTTTTTAATTTGTAATTTTCACCACTGTATAACCATTTAGGTAAAGAAATATGATAGCATTTATAAGGCAATGAAAAATTAGGAATTTTATTAACAGCTATTGACTCCAAAACCTATGCCTGATATTTCTTGGCCTACTGTAATAAAATGGTCTGATTTGTTGCATTTTAATTGCTGCATGTTTGAAACTTGCAGCATAATGGAGTACTTACATTGCAAAATATTGTTTTGCAGTGTAAACATTTTAAAGAAAAATCTATGTTTTATACCTAATAACTGCAATTAAAATAAATACAAAATTACAAACCTTTAAAATTATTTCCAATGGAGAGTTGTGGGTAGTTTAGCTATCTGAAAGCCTATTTCAGTATTCTGTGTTATTGGAATAACCTGAATCAGGCAATCAGTTAACAAAAAAATCTAGCACAAAATAATGTAAGTATTCAAAGAAAATCTAACTAATATTAAACAGGGATTATCTTTTTCCGGATGTTCCCGGAATTCCGGATATTTTTCAAGATTATTAGTTTTTCCGGATATCCGAAAGGTTTTCTATACATACAAGTTTAAGTATATATTTGTGTAATATATTTGAATTTTAAGGTTTTTTAGTCATCACTCATACAAAAATTAGAGAAATTCTCAAAACAATTGAGGTACAACTCAGCTAAAAGAAAATTAAGAGGAAAATAAGGGGAAAAAAATTACGGATTTTTTCCGGATATTTTAAGCGAACAATTTTCCGGATTTTTTAAATATGACCTGGATCATCTTTGATTAAACCATTTTAATAAAATAAGAATAAAACAATTATAGTGCAAACAAGACTCTTAACCATAACAAAAATTAATTTTTTATACTTGAGCTGTAAAAAAATGGCTTCTTAATTTTTTACGGAAAATGCAACAAATCAGGCCGTGTAATTTAAGTTGGCCATGAAAGAGGTTGTCCCATTTTAATTTTAGTAATCATTTTGGCATTTTGGCTCATTTAAAAATATGCGGGTGATGATTGATTGAAAAATTTGTTAAGTTGATAAACTGATATCACTATAATCGATTAAAATTTGGATATTTTTTCAAAAACTATTTAATCAATTGTTTAGATTTTATTTGAAGAACAAAAAAAATCACACCTCGATTTTACAACATTAATACTTTAATTTTTTGTTAAGTCATCAATTTCATTTGACTTTGTATCACTTTTTATTACTCCTTAAATTTCGGATTTTATTTACATTTGTACATGTCCTTTTTTCACTTAATATTCTTCTATTCACGCTTTATAATGTTTTGAATGAAAACAGTGTTGATTAGATGGAAACATCGAGTGATCTTTTTTACAGTAAGTTTCATATTCTAAAATGTACCAATTTGTGGAAATTTTGTCACTAGTTTAAACAAATTTTTAGCTCGCCCAATTACTTTGGTTTTTGCTTCAAGTGACTTTTTTGGTAATTTTTCTTGTGATAAGCTTTTTTAATACCCTTTAAATGAAAGATTTGTAGCTTTTAAAAGAATAATAAAAAAGCATTTAAATGAAAGATTTGTAGCATTTAAAAGATTAATAATAAGCATTTAAATGAAAGACTGCATTTAAGTTTTGTAGCAAAATCTGACTGAGTTGGATTTTGATGAATGCCCCAAACGTGAGAGCAACAAGTTGATAAAATACTTTTTTAATTATTCTTTACTAAATTTTCAATAATTCTTTACTAAAATTTCATACAATAATCTCTTAACATTCAAAATTTGTAACCCCCTTATAAATTGAGAGGAATTTACATGGTCATAGTTTTTAACGATAAATGATTATACTATGAAATTTAAAATCTATCGATGAAAATAAATTTAGTTGAGAATAGTGAAAAAAAACTTCAATCAACTTGTTGCTCTAACGTTTGAGGCATTTTTGTTTCCAGGCTCCAATCGTCGTTATTTTTTGCAAAGCATTATTTGACAGAAGTATAAGCATATAAATGTTTGGAGCTTGTTCTATATCTGGAAGTAAATTATCTTAAATACCAAAAAATTTCCGATTCTCCCCAGGGGTAGAATTTTAGATGCAAATTAGTTTTCTTTGGAAATTAGATGAACTACATAATTAGATAAATTAGAATCAATTTCAATACTTTTTTCATATTTAATACATAACAATGTTAAAAAAAAGTTTCACATTTTTAACATTGTTATGTATAATTAAAAAAATGACCTCAAAACAAGGTAACAAAAAAAGAACTTCCAAGTTTTACTTAGTGCATTTATTTTGTGGAAAAAAGTTCACCTTGGACCACTATAAAATAGAAAATATACCTATACAAACCATGACAGACATAATCCAACGTGCTAAAATAGCTCTAATAACAAAAGAGTTAAAGAATGTGGTGCTAGATTAGAATATTAGGCACTTCAAAATCATGTTTGAATACCATAATGATAATTTTTAATGTTATTTACCTCCCTAAGGTCGAGGAGACCATTGCAGTCGAGAAGACTTTTGATTACAATCCTCTCTAAACTCTTGAACTCCGAAACACAAACCTTGACAAAAAAAGCTGCTGCCTGGTTAAACAAATTAAGCGCGGTGCTACTAAGGACGTGGGGGAGATCAAACTCGAGATTTTTCGCCTATTAAGCGAACGTTCTACCACTACATTATCATCGAATTG